AAATCTTGTCTGCTGAATGAAAGGATAATGTCAGGTTTTATTAACAATGAATAACTGTGGAAAACCACAGAAACATTCTTAACAGAAAACTTTTTTTTTTTGGTAAACTGTTTTTAGGTAAAATTAGAGGGATTGAGTTAGATACAAGGATCACTGCTGTGATATGTCCCAGCAGAAATTCTGATTCAGGTATGTATTCCCATGGGCCTTTCTAATGTGAGAGTGTAGGAAGAGATGAGCTACAACTGAAAAGGCTGTAACCCCCGGGTGCATGGATTTGAATAAGCTGGAGGTACAAGGGGAGCTGGGACACTGTGGTCACTCACAGTGCTGCTCCTGTGGCCCATCTGACTGATGGCTGGCACACACTTCTTCTAAGTAAATGCAATGATACAAGGTAGTGCATGACCTCTGCCTTGGCTTGCATTGCCTCTCCATGGCTGTCTATGTCTGCTATTCTGCTGCCACTGAAGCCTCCTCAAGAGACCACGTGTTGTGGTGGTGGTGATGCCATCGGTGGGATGGCTCCCACCACATGCTGTAGCCTGTCTGGGAGACAGGTTGTGCAAAAAGAATAACTAGGCACAGCCCACCAGGCACAGGCACTTGAAAGGAGAAGGAACTTCTTGGCTCCTGCTGCCCCTGGCTCTTTTGCACATTTTCCTAATCCACAGGCAAGATGTGAGCCAGGGACACTCACAGTCCCGCACCGACTGCTCTGAGGCCTCCTCGCCATAACCATTCCATCATCCCCTTCTCCATGAAAACCTTCACAAGCTTTGCACAGAGAGTAGGCACATACCACGAATCCCTGCTGCACTGTGGTTTTCACTCAGTTCACTGATACTGTCCTGCTGTGAGCCAGGCTCTGCCACAGCCCCCCTGCACAAACATCCCCACGCCTGTGTGCCACATTCCTGCCTGCGGCCGAGGTGCAAGGACTGCTGTCCTGCAGAGCCTTGTGCTTCCTCACCATGAAGTTCCCAGTGAAGCTGGCTCTGGCTGAACCTCAGCAGTGCCATACTGCTGTCAGGTTGCTGGACAGCAGCAAAAAGTCTGAGTGTAGCAGACACCTGAGAGAAAAGTAAAGCACAGGAGCTTCAACACTGTCTTAAAAATATCAGATGTGTTGTAGCCATCCTCATGGGTGTACAGGGGTTATAAGTGAGGACCATTCAGGGCACAAAGGCAAGATGCAAGTAGCAAAAAGGTCTGTGGCTGAGGTGAGCCATTAGTAAAAAAATTAAAAAACAATAAAGAAAAAAAGAAATACGCAAACCCACAGTTTCCAGTCCTGACAAAATGAATGTTGTCCATTTCTTTACAGCAGCTTTAATCCATCAGAATTACTCTATACATGAACACACTGAAAATATGGTGGCTCCATGATGTAATGGGATATCAGACTGACTCTCGGAAAATCCCTTGATTTATCATTTCACAGTTATGACTCAAGTCATATCAGGATCAGTTTATCTGCTGTTTAGCACCCTGCATGGGTTGTAGGCTCTGAGATTTTCTCCCACCCACTGTATCAGTGGTTAGAAGCACGATATTGCACGGCACATGCAAACTGCCTCAGGCATAGCTGTGCTGTAAATCACTGGCAGGTGAGAGAGGCATCATTTCATGGGCTTTACACTAATCCATCCCAATCTAAACTGGTGACTTAATGGCACAGAAAGCAGTACCACTGCTTACGCTGCTATAAGCATGCATTTCTAGTTGAAGAAATATTACAGCATTTATTTATCTGCACAGCACGTTCCTTTTAACTACCTACAGCTATATAAATCCCTACAGCAATTATTGGTTATGAGGTTTTTACACTGCTGTATAAATCTAGTTCCTGTTTTTAAATTCAGTTTCCATCATGGGATAATGTGTGAAGATTTCTCCTGTCTTAGGAGCAGTATCAAATACAACTTATGCTCAAAGGCTACGGCTCATGAAATCTACAGGGAATTTCAGGCAGAGGGAAGTACTCAACAGCGTTACGGCAAATATTTAACACCTCTGGCTCATCTGGTTACCACAACATTTTAAATCCATATCCATTCAGTGAAATCATTCTTAGTTACAGCTCTCAGGGATAAAAAATTAGGATCAGTTCAAGAAACAAGATCCTCAGGCACATACACCAAATAAAACCAACAGAGAATTTCCCCCCAAACCTTACTGAAACTTCAGGAGAGACTTTCAGGCAATCTGAACTGCTGGATGGACAAGAAAGAAAAGCATTCACAAATTCTTTCTTTAGATCTATAAAGGTAATTCCTTCTGAAATTATTGAGAAAGCCATTCAAGATTCAAGCCCTAAGAGACTACAGTTTGTTGAACAGATGTTAATATAAAATATTTAATTCATCACCATTTTGCTTAAATTTACCCATGAAAAATACTCACAGGATAAAACTATTCCACATACAAAGAAGTATAACTAGATCAGACATTTCTCATCAACTGAAACCAAATAGATCTAATTCAGGTTTCACACTCAAATCCACTTTCCTCACCCTTTCACACACACAAAATGCAAAACACCAAGATAACATTCCTTTGTCATATCGGACCCTGGGAACCATGAAAACTTCTGTGATGTAGTGTCTGTGAGCATAAGTGATGCTCAAAAGATCAAAAATAGAATTATATAACAATACACCTCCAAAACCCCTACAACCTTCAACCATATTGTCTATAGACATCATAACTACTCTTGTTTTGCCACTACCTTTACTTCTCAGCCTGCTCACCCTTGTTTAAATGGTTCTGGGTGTACTTTGGTTTGATGTAAAGTATGTAAGATGAGTAATAACAAATCACTTAATAACTTTTAAAAGACAAAAAGAATGTTCAAATAGAGTATCAGACTTCACTGTGGACTTACAGCTCCCACGTTCTTAGAAGTCTATTATTTTAAACAAGAAATAAGGTCAAGCCAAAAATCCCACTTTCAGAGCTTGATTTTATTTCCGTCCTTTAGTATTTTTTTTAAAGTGGTAGTGCAGTAAGCCAGTTTGGAGAGATTTTGTCATTTGTTAACATAAATATCTTTTATTTACTCTGAATAGAGAAGTAACCTACAATGTTACTACTTATCTGTCAACATATAATACTTCCTCCAGGTTAGCCTAGAACATTGTAAGCTAGTGCTTTAAGGACTAAAAAATGAATTTGCTGCAAAAGGCAGAGGTATTATTTTTATACAATAACTTAGGAACAGGATCAGCCTAAAACACTTGAGAAGTTGCCTTTTTGGGATTGTCATCTTGCACTGTAACTGCATTTTCCTATGAGGCACTGTTGAGCAAGGAAGGAGGAGAACAAGCAGAGTAGCCCCAGTGTAAGGAGGGCTGCTTATGCCAGCCAGTGTAAGGAGCAGTGCAAACAGCCAGGCAAATATCTGTGTGTCTGAAGCTGAACATCATCTTCCCCCTGTTAGTTTACCTTTGGTCAATCTGTCCAGATTCACACTTTGCTCAAGTCAACCCCATCTATGTGCATCACTTACTGAGTCTCACTCTCCTAAAGAGATACATGGGTCAGGGAAGTTTCCTTTTTTAAAATCTTCCAGAGGGGTTGGGGGACTGATGATGGAATGCATGCACGGCTCAGTGCAGTCAAGCACACCTCACACCTAGGTAAGGAATACTTATTTTTCCCAGACACATCATACTGCAACACAGTATGATGCAATGCAACATTAGATTACAGTGATTAAAATGAAAAAGAAACGCTGGAAAAGTGAGGTTGAAATACAGCTTTCCTTTGAAACAAAGTTGTGTCCCTACATCTTAATAGAAACGAGATTACAAATGACTCACTCCATAAGAGAGCATTTATTTACCCCTCTTTTACCAGGAGATTTTAGAGAGTCTGACTGAACTGGATCAATTCAATTCCATTTCAATAAACAAAAAGGTATTTATCAACTATGCCTTATTATTTTATTGTGAATTATGATGTGACATAGTATTTTTTTGACTAGTAATAGGTCCGAGATCCCTAGATGTTCTCAGTGGTCTAATTTAGCTTTAAAATTCTACAATTCTATAAAACATGGCATGTAATTTGCCTTTCTCTTCCCTTTCTCAATAAAAAAAAGTGTAGAAGAGGATGCTTCTAAAAACTGGGAAGCATTTTTGATGTTCCCTCCTTCTTTCTGTTGAAGAATTTTCTCCTGAATTCACTCTTTATCACTGATAAATGCACTTCCTCATAGTCAACCGTTTTATAAACAGAAAACTGAGTTGAAACATGTACTAAGCAAACACCTCCACTTTCCTTTCAACATTATTTCTAGAATTATTTTTTTTTTTTAGTGTCTTTACATACCAAGTAAGACACTGAAAAAAAATTCAGAGAATCCTGGAGTGCCTGGATCAAGAAGTAATCCCATTCACCTCATCTTAGTCCTACTTATGGTGGCAACGCTTGTTCCAAACAAAGCATCCCACAATTTTTACATCTGCTTTGCCCAGCAGATGTTTACATATTTTCTGTTTACATCTGCTTGACTCTCATCCTTGTTAACCATACTTGCAATGACGCATCAACTAAGATGATCCTGAAAACGCTGAGGTTCTGCCAATGCATCAGTGGCTTCATACATATATATATATGTGTAAGATATGAGATGCACCAAGGACATGCACCAAGGAACTCTATAACAGTAGACTACACTTTTCCTTAGCCCCTCACTTTAAAACACTCCTAAAGACTTTAGAAAAGTCTCATTTTTGAGACAGGAAGATTCTGTTGGTTAAATAAGTCTGCATTAGTGGGCTGTCATGGCATCTCCACATTCACAAGCACACGCTCCTGCAAAATCAGCTTTATGAACACTTTGCAGTATTTATCATGGAAATGACAAGTAATAATCAGCTGGTTCTCTCTGTATGCAGAGGACCCCAACCACCCCCATTAAATCAATGTAAAACTCTTTACAGTGGCACTGCAAGAGTAGACAGAGACACAACAGGTTCACCAGAGCACTGTACCTGGTCAGCAGCGGGAATCGACTCCCACCTACGCTTCAGCAAGTACAGAGATTTCCGGCTCATGGTTTCGAATCTGCTCTAGAGGCTTTTTCCAGACTTGAGAAAAAGGCTTCTCCCAGACCAGTGTCAAGAACCTTATTTCTGACTCCTGTGCTTCATTGCAGATGGCAGAGCTCCCCGATGTACACAAGTTTTCGTGAGCTGCAAGGTCGAGACCGGTTACACCCGAGCTTCTCGTGTTTCTCTAAAGCATCTGTCTCCTCACAGTGCCACGACAAAGGGAGTCAGTGGAGACAGAGAACAGCCCAGCTTCCACTGACGAGCCACCTCGTAAAAGCCTGAAGTAGGTAGACAACACCAGACGCACTCAATCTGAAAATAGCTGTTGCTTAGGAACTGGAGGGGTAAAATGCAGCACCTCAGATATATAATTGAGAGCTTTTATATTTAAAGAGAATTAAAAGCGCTGGACCTGTGTTTCTCTCTCATTCTTTTACAATACCGGAGGAAGGATTGCTCGATTCCACTGACTCCTGGGGCTACGCCTACATCTCCAGCAAGCCAAACAAGTCCTGATGACAGAGCAACAAATTACTCCCACACATTCAAGGTCCCTCGTAAAAACGTGTGCACAAAGCGTGCCGCAGATCCCACCTGAAACATCTTAGAAGTATCAAGTACTGTGCTTCAATAGAATGATTAAAATACAATTTGCATAATTTTTCTGCAGAGCAATAATATGCCAAGGATGAATTCTGCTAGTCACATTTTCTTGTAGCATGTGCTGACATTACAAATGGGTATGAATATTTTCCCCTCACATGAGTGACATGACATAGTTGTACAGACTGCATGTGTGTATTTGAGAGAGATTTCTTTAGGTGGAATAAATGTCTAGGAATTTCTTTAATTTGGAATTCAATTTTGAAGTTTCATGCCTAAATTCTAAATTCTAGCCTGTATTAAGTTTGCAAATTAAGGATAGAACAGAATCAAATTCACTTTGCCCTTTCTGTTTGATTTCAAATCCATAGATTAAATTCTCTGTGTGAAGCACTTACAGAAGGAAGTGTTGTCTTCAGAGAAGAAAAAGAAAAGGAAAAAAACCCCAAGTAGATAACCAAGAACTCATTGATCTTTGCAAGGCAACCTATAATTCAATCTAATTACAGCAACCTTAATAGTATAATTATTCTAAAAGAAAAGGAATCCTACAACATACACACATACAGATATATATGTATATGTGTGTGTGCACATACGCATTATATTAAAAAGGGAAGTGTAATGACAGTGTAGAAGTCAGGAGCAAGTTAAATATTGTAAAGACAGCTTTTTACTTGTCCCATTTACATTCTATTGAATTGCAGATGCTTATCACGAGACAAACTCCTGCAAACAGAAATTCCCACAAGCCTCGGTGTATTTCATTTGACATCCATCGCTACCTGTAACTAAAGCACTTTGCATTTAACTCCTACATGCAGAAAGGAACACGTTTTCCAAGTGGGTCATTAAGAAGCATGACATGCACCGTAGTAGTTTGCTCTCATGTTTCAACACATGCCATAGAAAACCTACTTGCTCTTAAAAAAATCTTCACTGGATCAGAGTTTTTTCAATGACTCTTGGAAGAATAACTTCATGAGTTCGTATGTGGATTTTAGTTTTGCATGACAGTAAACCAGTGGTTCCACCTCCTGTTCTCACAAGTGACGTTTCTAACATCCACATACATAGGTGGCTTCCTAGGATCTGTCTTCCCACTTTCCTCTCATTACTCCACATGAATTAAAAGATCATAGACGATTAATAAATTGCCTCCCAATAACCTAACCTTAAATCCCTTCCTGCTCCTTACTCTCCCCTCACTGCTTGCTGGGCAGCGCAGGTTGCACTACCACTGTCCAGGAGAGCCCTCTTCTCCCAAGTCCCACTTCTGTGCTGATGGAAAGCCCTCCTGACCTAGGGAAACACCATAAGCAACCCTGTGGCAGATCCTGCAGGTAACTGCCACTTTAAACACCTGATGTGTTAGGTTTGAAGCAGAAGTATACCTAACACACCCCTCACCTTCATTTTTAAGCAACATCTTGTTTAACAATGGGTACATTTATTAAAGACACGAGCTGGCAACAATGCAACAGAACCATAAAAGATAAAACAGGTCTTTTATATTAAGAGTGAAAATCAGAACCTTCTAAATTTCTCATAACCTCTCAGGGAACTACTTAAATTGGGTTTAACACTCTTCCTATCAAGACAATTTTCAGAGCCATGTAAAAGAGAGAATCTGAGGCTATAGTGGAATAACTGAGGCTTATTTTCTTCCCTCTAATGAAACTTTTCTTCCTTGCTTCTTGTGAGTGGGTACGAGGATAGCACGCAGTAATCAGAGATCTTGAGTCATTTTAGGATTCTTTATCAGGAACTGTAGTGATAGGACAAGGGAAAATGGTTTCAAACTGAAAGAGAGTAGGTTTAAATTAGGTGTTAGGAAGAAATTCTTTATTATGAAGGTGGTGAGGCATTGGATCAGGTTGCCCAGAGCAGCTGTGGATGCCCTGTCACTGGAAGTGTTCAAGGCCAGGGTGGATGGTGCTCTGAGCAACCCGGTTTAGTGAAAGGTGTCCCTGTGCATGGCAGGGGGTTTGGAACAAAATGATCTTTAAAGTCCCTTCCAAACCCAAACTGTTCTATGATTCTAGGATTTTCTTTTCCCACCTTGTTATAGATCCTTTAACATTTCTATGGTGTGTCTGGATTGTTGTACAAGGTATCCATATAAAAATCCTTCACCTCAAGTAAAAGCAATTCCAAAATACCAGAGCCCCAACTTATATAATTTCAACACTAGATGGGAAAGACTGCTTTACCCAAGCAGTAAAATTCCTGAACACCAACACTGGTAGCAAAGTCTCATTCGCAGCAATTGTAATTCTATAGATAATTAAAAAATTTATCGGGTGATGCTATTTACACTACTAGCAAAATTTCCTTTCAGTGATGTGTCAAGGATGAACCAGTAGCTACACATGGCTTTCCTGCACCTCCCCACACAATTCTAACACGTTGTTCAGTAACAAAAAGATTAGTGGTGAGAGGGCTATCCAAGTTTTACAAGTTTGTCAGGTTTGAAAAAAAAACCAGCAAACACAAACCATACACATATTATTTGAAACTGCATCCCTTTGATGTCCTGATGGAGACAGATGAGCAAGAAATGCTTTCTCAATACATCTAATCCATCTTTCTGCTACTTAAAGAAACCTTCTGTTGCATGTATCAGCTCTGTATGAATCACCTGTTTGGATCACAGCTCAAAAATTATATTAATGAAAGCTGTCATGGTTTTATGCTTTGTTCCATTGATTCAATCCTGCAAATATTAACAAAACGAGCAACTTTGCTAATGTCAGATGGAAGACTTTCTCGAATGCCTCAAATTTACCAAAAGCCAAAATGAAACACAAGATGCTGAGTAACTGACCTGTGAGCCTCTGGGTCCTCGTTTGTGATCCCATTCAGAATGCCCCATGAGCTGAAAACCAAGGAAAAGCAGAGGTAAGAGATAAATTGCACTTATTAGCTTTAATTGAAACATTCATGCTTTTATATCCATGACACATTTTCTTTAAAAAAGCAGGTCAGCTTTTACCATTTATTTCACACAGATTTTAGCTTCGTAATGAGAATGAAGAGATTTGGGAGTTGTTACTATCACATTGTACCTTTACATTCAGAGCCCAAACACATTTGGCATCACATCACTGCTCATGCCAATAAAACTCCCACTGCCATAGATTAAACTTTAGCCAGATGTTTAATGCTGATCTGGCAGAAGGACAGATGATATATCAGCAAGGAAATTACCAAAACCCGGGGACATTTGATTAAACAGCACTGTATGTTTTATACCAAGCACGATAGCTAGTGACAGCTTTAGATCTGTTTCTCCACTGAACTATGGCTTTTTTTTACAGCTACTCAGAGATCTCTTCTGAATAGTGTTTGTTCCTATGCACACAAGCATTGCTTAATGCAAATATAAAAACATATGAATGAACGACAGGAGGGTTAATGTGACATGTAATGACTTACACTTATTAATATTTTCTTGCTCTTTTGTCCCAACATTCTTTCCCAAAGAAAATGCCTTCTCCCAGTCAGAGGAGGAGATTTACAACCTACGCTTATTGCAGAACATGTTTCCAAAACGCTCATTCCAAGACAAGAGATTAAAACTGCTTTGAAAAATGAGGAAAGCTGCATGCATCTCATATGATGAGGTTTTTTTATCTTCTCCATCAACTGTTCCTACTTACCCTTTCCTTTTCCAACTATCTACCTCCATAACTGGAGACAAACCACGCATGCAGATAGGCATCAAAGATCAGAAATGTCACACCATATTTTTACCTGATAGGGCCTCATGACTGGCCCCCACATTTTAGTGTAATTATTTCCTTTTCCATATACTGTTGGTGGAAACACTGGCTGTGCCAGGTTTCCCTGTTTACTCCTCTATACTGTTATGTTTGCTCACTACTGGTACAAAGCCAAGATTTGATGTTTATGAAAGCTGGCCTCTCAGTAAATAACTGGCATGCAAAAACTACAAAGAGATGCATCTACAAGGGTTATATTTTCACAGAATCTCAGCCAAAACCCTCATACCCGTGCTTCCTCCAAGGCTCCTGCCACTCTGGACTGAGAAAACCTCTTCAGTTTTTCTCCTCAGCCCCTATTCCTTGTGAGGAAGTAACTCCCACTTCCTTAATTTACTTGGCTAAAGGGAAATTAATTTAGCTTGAGTCTGACCACCTGTGATTCCCAGCATGATAAAGTACATCTTTACCTACAGCTTCCTACCAGTGAAATTAGCACAAAAAATATGCCTGTTATTTCACACTTTAGAAAAAACTATTAATGTTACAGGCCTGCCTATGATCACTGTGGCTCTCCAGGCTCTACAGGCATTTGGCAGCACATACCACACCTTCAAAACCAAATGTAGCATAAGAAAACTCCTTCCAGGTTTTGCATTCTCCTACCCTCACTGAATCCATAGTTCACTGAAAAGCAAAGGGCTGCTTTATTATTGCCACCAAAAATAAGCAGTACAGTCAAGGGTCAAGCCTGGCACTGTTGTTCCCATTAGAGGAGGTACACCAAATGTAAGGATGCTTCCAGTCCAGCCAGTCCCAGGAAACCATACTGACATGACCTGGGGTGGTTACTCATGGTCACCACTCAATCTTCAAACCCAAATCAAGTCCTCTTAAACATTCATTCTTCAGGCATGGTTTGTTCACACTGTTCCCTGTTCCTGTTTGGTGCTTCACATCTCTACAGAGAACTTTCAGCCCCATAGCCAGCTCCTGCTCTGATCTGCTACTCCTCTTCCTCCGCAGCTTGCAGGTGCCTTTTGTTTCCCTGTCTCTAATCATGCTCCTCTAT